AAATCATCCAGCACATGTATCCAACAGCAATGTTCGCAGACTCACGAACAAGAATTACCGAATCAACAACGGTGCGGAAAATCCTGCCATCCGGATCAAAAACCCTCGCGTACCCAAATAAATATAGAAACCGTTGCTATTACGGAGGATTCCAACGGCCGCACTTCCAAGACAAAGACCAAATGGCAGGACAAATTGGACCGGTCATGTGACGCGCCGACCAATGCTTCCTGCATGACAAACCATGGCCATAGATGCCTAGTGCTAAATGCAACACAGAAATAAGAACATTCGAGATGCTCAGTGTTAAAACACAGTTACACAGAAGTCAGGACTAGACTACTCCGGTAGGTTCATCAGGGCCTTCCGGTGGTACTCCAGTTTGATCCTACCAAGGACCTTGTTCAGCATGTCGGCGTGCTGCTCTTCCATCGGGACATACTCTGCGGTGATCTTCCCAGACTTGAAGAGCTCGCGGATAAAGTGGTACCGCACGTCGATGTGCTTGCTCCTCGCCGAGCTGAAGGGGTTCTGCACCAGGGCAAGAGCTCCCTTGTTGTCTTCAAGGACCTTGATCTTCGCTCCACTCGTCTCAGGCGCTACGAAAGACAAAACCGCACGCACATGCAACGCCTCCTTCACTCCCTCCCTGGCTGCTAGATACTCTGCCTCCGAGGATGACTGCGCCGGCACACGCTGCGTCTTTGTGGTTCCGTTCACCGTGTTACCACCTACGGTTACGGCTAGTCCCGTCGTCGAACGCTTGTCAACAACGTCGTCGGCGTAGCTGGCATCGACTCACACTCCTAGATCTAGCCCTGACCCCCGCACATAGGTGAGGCTCAGGTCCTTCGTGGCGTTGAGGTAAGACATGACCCTCAGAAGCGCCTGCCATATCCTGTCGGTGGGAGAGCGAGCCACCTTCTGGATCTTGTTCAACGGCAGAGCGATGTCCGGCCTCGTATGCACCACCCACATCAGGCACCCGAGTGCCTTCCTCACTGGCTTGTCCACCGTGGGTTCGTCACCTCGTTTCGGACTTCGAACTCATGCCTTCCGCGCCTCGGGAAGTTTTCCAATTTTCGTGAAAGTCCCCGCCTTGTCTAGACCACCCTTCTCTTTCATCATCGCCGCTTCCCAAAGCACCTTGTACTTGGAATCCATCGCCTCTTTGTATGTGAGCGGGACAGCCTCTACATCGTTAGGCTTCTGCCCGATCGGCGAGGGAATACGTAGCTCTGGGTCAAGGAGTGGTTGCGGAGACCCGTCGTCCTTTTCGTTTGCACTGAATGCCAGCTCTAGACTAGCTCCCCTGCATCAGCGTCTTGCGTGCGCTCCTCCAACAGCGATTCGCGGATATATTCCGCAACGATCTCCGGACCGTTCTTGGTCTCCAGAACGGTTGATAACAGCGCCTCCTCGGGGGCGGGTGCCTCGCTCGGCTCTTTCTCGGAGCTCCGCAACTCCCGGGTCTGCTTCCGGCTGCGGCCGGGCTGGAGCACATGGTGCAGCTGGCCGGCACTCGACGCTCCCCAACGAAGTTTCTTCTCTTCCGTTCCTGACGGTAGCGGCTGTCGGCGGGGTCGTACTTCAACTCCTAGAGCGTCTGAGGGTCGCCGCCTTCATTGCCGTCACCATCGTTCTCACCGGGGTCGCCTGTCTCGCCGCCGCCATCGTCGTTGATGCCGGGGTCGACGGCCTCGCTGCCGTCACCGTCGTCGTTGCTGCCGTCGNTGGTCTCCAGAACGGTTGATAACAGCGCCTCCTCGGGGGCGGGTGCCTCGCTCGGCTCTTTCTCGGAGCTCCGCAACTCCCGGGTCTGCTTCCGGCTGCGGCCGGGCTGGAGCACATGGTGCAGCTGGCCGGCACTCGACGCTCCCCAACGAAGTTTCTTCTCTTCCGTTCCTGACGGTAGCGGCTGTCGGCGGGGTCGTACTTCAACTCCTAGAGCGTCTGAGGGTCGCCGCCTTCATTGCCGTCACCATCGTTCTCACCGGGGTCGCCTGTCTCGCCGCCGCCATCGTCGTTGATGCCGGGGTCGACGGCCTCGCTGCCGTCACCGTCGTCGTTGCTGCCGTCGTGGCTAGATGTGCTGCTGACGGGCTCGCTACCGCCGCTGCTCTCATCACCAGAGTCGCCGCTGAGTGGCTCGCTGCCGCCTCCGTCGTGGTTGTTGGAGACGTCGCTGGGGCCACTACTGTCGTCGCTGTTGCTGCTGTTGTCGGCGGGGTCATCCCCATCGCCGAAGTCATCCCCTCCCGAAGAGGGCGACGGGCGACCTCCGCCTTCGTCCAACTGCATCCCATTTCCGGGTGCCGTAGGCGCCCCCATGCGCACGAGCGGAGTCGCTTGCCCCAGCCCACGAGCGTCGTCTACGTCGAGGTCGGACTCACTCCTCGAGTCTTCCTCCCGCCCTCCACCTTGACGTGACGCGCCCTCATTGCTCTCGCCCTCCCCGCCCTCCTCATCATCTGCGAGAGGCACTGGCTGCAGGGGGCCGGGCGAAGCAGCGGGCACTTGGCGCCAGGTGAAATTTCGGGTGACGATTTCTGTTCCAGCTTCGGTTAGCATGCGAACGCAATCACGGGAGTGGTTGTGAGCTGGGCCCGTGTACCATCCTTTCTGTCCCTTGGGTTGCGACTTTGCCTCACTTCTTGATTTGAAGACGGCTGGTTTGAGGAACGGGTACGTTGACCCGACGGGCGGCGGTGTACCGTGAAACATCTCGTAGGGGGTTTTGTGGCCAGGGTTGCCCATGGTGGCGGTGCAGTTTTTTTAGTGGCACGCGCAGGAGATGGCTTCAGCCCATAACTTGGGGGTATTGGGCGCATCGGGGAAGAGTGCCGTAGCTTGGATACGGGCGGCGAGCGCGGCATCAGTGATCACCCCCAACGCTCTCTCAGCTACACCGTTGTACTTGGTCGTGTCAGGGGGGGTAAACTATTGCTTGATGCCGTATTTGCGGCAAACATCCGCGAACGCCCCTTGAAACTCGCCACCATCGTCGGTCCGTGCGACGTAAACTTCACACGGAACCCCCGCTGCTCGGTAGTCTGCNAGTGGCACGCGCAGGAGATGGCTTCAGCCCATAACTTGGGGGTATTGGGCGCATCGGGGAAGAGTGCCGTAGCTTGGATACGGGCGGCGAGCGCGGCATCAGTGATCACCCCCAACGCTCTCTCAGCGATACCGTTGTACTTGGTCGTGTCAGGGGGGGTAAACTATTGCTTGATGCCGTATTTGCGGCAAACATCCGCGAACGCCCCTTGAAACTCGCCACCATCGTCGGTCCGTGCGACGTAAACTTCACACGGAACCCCCGCTGCTCGGTAGTCTGCCAAGAAATGCTTGAAATTCTCGGCTGCGTCAGATTTTCGCCTCAGAAAGAATACGCGCGTCCAACGCGTGCGATGGCACACGATTATGAGGGTGTATGGGCTGCCCCCGATGCTTGCGATCTTCTTTTTCCCCCCTAGGTCGAGTAATATGCGAAACAGCTTCTTAACTGCGCGCGTGGATGTGCTCGTGCTGACGGGTTTCACGTGTCCCTTGGACATCGAACAGCCGAGGCATGGTAGCGGCGGTCCTCCCGTCAGCTGTACTCCCTGCTGCTTCGCCGTGTCTCTGAGCAGTTTCTCGTGGGCGTGCAGGTGGGAGTTGTGGTAGTCGTTGATGTCAGTGGGGGTGGCTGCTTTTGCATCGCCAGGAACAACGACTGCGGCACAGGCGATGTCTACCGTAGGCTGTGTTTGATAGCCTTCTTGAGTGAGCAGCTTGCCCGTCCGGGGAAAAAACACTCCCCGCCCCCCCCCAAGTTTACCATCGGGGTTGGGTTTTCGTCGCTTGGCAACGACGTTGTAAAAGTACATGAGCTGCATTCGGAATGGGTACAGGCACCCAACCACCTTCCGACTTCAGGACTACGATCACGTCTCCGTATCCTAGGAGGGGAACAGGGGCTTTGTCACCAACATTCCCCGCACCCAACCGTTACACTCACGGTAGTTCACGAAGGCATTCGCACATCGGAACATGGAGCACGTGGCTGCCATGTCAGCCACGTACTGCATGACATCCTGGCCAAGTTACCCAACCCCCACTACACCAAGATCAACGATACCACTCTCGCCTGGGGGTTGTGCCACGGCATAGAATGCCTGGTCAGTGGCGGAGTCGTCTTCGCTCACGTAGCTCACGACTTGAGCCAGGACAGCCTCCTCCGCAGCGCATTTGTCCTCCTTGTGACCCCACCCTGCGCATTTCCCGCCACGCGGAATGAAGTCCTTCTCCTCGTTGGTGCAGTCAGTAATCTGGTGCCCGACGTGACCGCACCGGTAGCACCGGCCAGGGAACCTCGTGCCCCCGCCACTGCCGCCGCCGCCTGCTCCTCCAGATCCATCTCCCTTGCTCTCCTCGACGCCGCCGCCGCCCCCGCCGTTGCCGCCGCCGCGGCCACCGCTGCAACCGCCGCGGCCACCGTTGCGGCCGCCACGACCGCGGCCACGGCTAGACGACTGCCCCTTCCGGCCGCCGCCGTCGGCGATGTACGCCCTTTCGGCACCTCGTGCGCCGTTGCGTTTCTTTTGTTTCTCCAGGATCGCTTTGTACTCGATTGCGATCTCCCTCATCACTTGCTCTTTGGTCAGCTTTTTCGTGCGTCGCAGGGCATGCTTCGTCATGGCGTACTCATCCGAAAGGGCGGACACAAAGCGGTGGAGAACAAATCCTTCGTTGATACCTAGCCCTTCTTGGTTAAGTCGTTCACCAGTTGCTAGCATGTCGCGGAGAACAAGTTAAGGGTTCTTATTCGTGGGGACCATAAATGTCATGAACGCATCCAAGTCGTCAACCGGTTGCATTGCTGATTCCGGGTCGTACATCCCTTTTAACTCCCGGATGGCCCCCTGGGGCGTCTCTGCCCTTTTCATCGTCTTTTTATCGTCCTCTTTGATGAGAGCGTGGTCCAGAAAATTCCACGCGTGAAACGCGCTCGGCTGGGTATTGTTGCACAATGACGACTTGCTTCGTCCGCTATTCACGGGGATCTCCACTGTCCCCTCCTGAAGGTGGTCCAACAGGTTTGCTCCATTTGCTAACAGGCAGAAATCCTGAAGCCATGTTTTTTTTTTTTTTGCTTTCCCGTCAAACGGGGGTGAGGTGTACCTCACCCTCTGGTATCCTGCACTCCCGAGAGGAATACCAAAGCCGCCGGCAAAGCCAGCAGCAGCACCACCTCCTATGGTGCTACAAAAACCACCTGGATTGTGAGCAGCGGTTACTCTCACCTCTTGGGGGACATAGCCCCCTGCTTTGCCGCTGTTTNTCCACTGTCCCCTCCTGAAGGTGGTCCAACAGGTTTGCTCCATTTGCTAACAGGCAGAAATCCTGAAGCCATGTTTTTTTTTTTTTTGCTTTCCCGTCAAACGGGGGTGAGGTGTACCTCACCCTCTGGTATCCTGCACTCCCGAGAGGAATACCAAAGCCGCCGGCAAAGCCAGCAGCAGCACCACCTCCTATGGTGCTACAAAAACCACCTGGATTGTGAGCAGCGGTTACTCTCACCTCTTGGGGGACATAGCCCCCTGCTTTGCCGCTGTTTCGTCCTTGCGGACCAGAGTCTCCGAAACGTTCGCGCAGGTACGTGTCGTCCTGCGCGCTCCCAGTCTGCGATGCCCCTTCTTGGACTTGTGCAGACGCCGCGGCGGCGCTCTCTCTAGCCTCACCGCGGCCAGCGTCGCTCCCTCTGGCGTCGCTGGGCTCCTCCTCCTTCCGTGTTAGCTCGCCTACCAGTAGCGTCAACTTGCTGATCTGCTCTGCGAGCGAGCCTACATCCGCCTTGAGGCCGTGAGCTCTGCCGAGCTCTGGTCTCCCTCCGACGGTCCGCCAGGGATAATTCCCCCGGCTACGCGGTCCGCCATTTCCTAAATGGACTCCCTCGAGGGATGTAGCACTAGTGTATTCGTACGTTTGTATGTCCTTCACTTGGAAGGCGGAGATTTGTTTTACCTTTTTTTTGGGTAATTCTATTTACGACACCGGTGTCGTAATTCTTATTTACGACACCGACGCTATCATCCAAGCTACTTGGAGGGGAATACCAACAGGATACCGCAGAGATATACTCAGAAAAGAGGCACATGTGCCTCATCCCGTTTTTTGAGCATATCTCTGCAACCACAGACCGGATTTCGCCCCAAAAACGCTTGGGTGATAGCCACGAGTCATATCTACCCAACGCAATTGGTTTGGCGCCAATCAGAGCTCTGTGGGCTGAGATTTTGGCGGTGTCGTAAATAAGAATTACGACACCGGTGTCGTAAATAGAATTACCCCTTTTTTTTTTTTTTCTCAATATCACACAACAAATCCATCTCTATCTATAGAGATTAGTCTAATATAGATTAGCAATGAATCCATAGCGTGAGCGAAAGGCTACCTGTATGTCTACGGTTTCCCAGACAGCATACAACGATAACACCCCTGTGGGTAACAGGCTCAACGAGGCAGTTTGGTAGCCATCTTGTGTATCTATCTGTATGTTATGTTGGGAAATTGCGGGTGTTCTATAATAGCACCCTAAAGTGGTTGCGGCGCACGCGCGTCTCGGGGTGTGTATATTTGCGTCATCAACTTATTTTGTGTGATGTATGGGGGCATGTGCGGTGCGGGAGAACATATTTACCTTGTTGTGTAATGGCATGTCGTTCAATGTGAGAAGGCACGGGAGAACATTATCTCATCATTGCCTCCTGACGTGGCCGCCGATAGATAGAGGCGTGTGGTTGGGGTTTCATCACTGACATGTGGGTACGTGCTAAATGCAGTGGGTATGGTCGCATCTATCTCTCGCCCGTGTGTCGACAGAAGGTATAGCTACCTTTCCCATATATTTATAGGCAGCGCGGACCGTAAAGACAGAGTGTATCATTTCATACATCTGCATCATTTGTATGTTGTTGTTGTTGTTGTTGTTGTTGTTGTTGTTGTTGTTGTTGTCTTCACATTAAAAACCGTTCCGACCTCTCTCTACCCAATACCTTCGTATCTCCGTTCTGATCCAACACTCGACGCGGTCGATTCCAGTGGTCGCAGGTTGANCGGGTGTTCTATAATAGCACCCTAAAGTGGTTGCGGCGCACGCGCGTCTCGGGGTGTGTATATTTGCGTCATCAACTTATTTTGTGTGATGTATGGGGGCATGTGCGGTGCGGGAGAACATATTTACCTTGTTGTGTAATGGCATGTCGTTCAATGTGAGAAGGCACGGGAGAACATTATCTCATCATTGCCTCCTGACGTGGCCGCCGATAGATAGAGGCGTGTGGTTGGGGTTTCATCACTGACATGTGGGTACGTGCTAAATGCAGTGGGTATGGTCGCATCTATCTCTCGCCCGTGTGTCGACAGAAGGTATAGCTACCTTTCCCATATATTTATAGGCAGCGCGGACCGTAAAGACAGAGTGTATCATTTCATACATCTGCATCATTTGTATGTTGTTGTTGTTGTTGTTGTTGTTGTTGTTGTTGTTGTTGTTGTCTTCACATTAAAAACCGTTCCGACCTCTCTCT